CCATCTACCTCACCTGGGTCGACGTAGGCCAATGTAGATTAATGTCTTGCCAAAGGGCAATAGCACTGTGGCAGGGATTTAAAGGTAAAGACCAGTATTGGAAACGCCCTAATTTCAAAAAATGACATGGAAGCTCTCATTACCAATCATGTGAAAGAATATGTTTTGACTAATACATGATGATAACAAATTTGCCGGGAAACCGCCTACTAATTCATATATTTGGTAAATTTGTTTCTCTCATGGTCTGTGAGAGATATAGGGTAGTCCCATATACATCTTTCTGTGTATAGTACTTGTAACTTTACGAAGAATGGGCCAAATTTCTTATCATTTTGATGATTCCAGAACCTTGCAGATGCTAGATGCTAGATGATCAACCTTTTCTGATCGATTTCACAACGTTTCTTTCACAATGCAATCGCATGACCATAACTGGTCTTTACCTTTAAGCCCCATATATACCCTGTGGTTCAGTCAGGTGACTGATTCACTAGACCACCACAACACCTCTGCAGCCATTGTGTGCCCGGCAAAAGGGCGTGGATGGATACGCACCCAACAGAAGTACATGTACATTTCAAGAAATACAGTCAAACCTGTCTATAGCGACCGCCCAAGGGAAACACAAAAAGTGACCTTTGAAGACAGGTGCATCTTTGTAGACAGGTTCCTTTAGTTCATGATTCAATGAGAAACCATTTTCAAGGGAAACAACAAATGTGGCCTTTGTAGACAGGTGGTAATTAAAGCGGGTTTGACTGTATACCGGTATGCATATTCAAGTCTGACTGCATCTATACAACTTATTTCAGCCTGTACATTATCAAAATTGTAAAGAGCGTTAGGAAAAATAAACGTCTCCTCATTATTCATTCGTCGTTTCATCACTAAACCAAGAAAGCATGAATAATTAGATCACACTTTGTATGTGCATGCTTCTGCCAAACACATTGACCGTAAACTGGTTTCACCCTGTTCTCGATGAAGCTATGCTGTACATCGGATACTTGATTTCCCAGAAACTGTTGTATATGTGAGCATAGTGCTAAATGAAGCTTATTCTTTGAAGAATCTATGTCATTGACATATTCTGCGAGTGGTTCAGATTTACAAGAGCACATGCTGGATGCAACTGAATTATAACTGACACAATACTAAATTTGTGTAATTTTTGTAATTTCCGAAAGTTTCTTGCATTAAATACTTCCATCTCTTTAAAGTTGGGAAAATATCAAGTTTTACAATACTATAGTTCAGACATTCCAAAGGTCCACAAGACCAAGAACCCTTGATATTAACAGTATTAGTCTCAGGGACATTCTGAGGAAGAGTCGGCAGGCTCTCGAGACAAATTTGTCAGTCTTGTCTAGTGTTTCTGCAGTCATGAAAATGACCATCTCTAAAAAGTATCTGGTTTTACAATACTGCCATTCAGACATTCCAAGGTCCACAAACCAAAGGCCCATGATAGTAACAGTATCAGTCTCAGGGAGCCTCACAAGAATAGCAAGGTTTTTCAGACCAATTTCTCAGTCATTAGGCCATCTTGCAAAATTTGTGAAAGTACCAGTATTTTTAGTACCCTGTACTGCCTTTCAGACACTCCATGGCCCACAAGCCCGTGATAGTAAGAATATATGTCTCAGGAAACTTCCGAGGAATAGCCAGCAGGCTCTTGAGACAAATTTTTCAGTCTTGTCTAATGCACCTTCAGTCATGTGGACTTTTAGTCTCCTAGTCTGGGCGAAGGTGTGTGTCCGGACAGTTGAGAGAATTTAAAGAGAAGGTTGAGTTCTGGGAAGAGGTGAAAAATAATTTGTGAGCATTATCATTCTTATTATGCAAGTGTGGAAGAACATCAGATAAGACATGTTCCCTGAAAAGCATGGCTCTTCAAATGCATTCATATTCTAAATATATCATGTAACATCGTAAAAATCCAGAGTAGGATTTTTTACGCCACGTGTTCGTGTAGTCCCATATACAGCATCTTTCTGTGTACAGTGCTTGTAACTTCACCAAGACTTGGCCAGATTTCTTATCATTTTGATGATTCCAGAACCTTGCCATACACACAAATTCTTATATACTAGATGATCAACCTTTTCTGATAGATTCCACACCGTTTCTTTCACAATGCAATCGCATGACCAGAACTCAACTTAATCTTTAAAGCAGTCTTGTTTGGGGTTGGATTTTCCAAAAAAATAAGCATCATTTACACCAACCATTATAGATATTTGTCCTTGATAATATTATCAAACACACTTCTTAAAAGATTTATGAAACATTATTGGAAAATGCTTCAAATCATTATTTGAAATCTAGTGTCCAGAAAAGCAACTGTCTGGACACACAACATGCTGGTATACCATCTGTGTACAGGGGGGCGTTTCACAAAACTTGTCATCAATGACAAATGACAGTTTTTGTTATAAGCTACTGAAATCCTTGCTTCTGATTGGTTATCAGCAGATTTGTCACTGATTTTTGTCATATTTCATTGAAAAAAGGCTTTGTTAAACACCCCCCAGATTTAATTTTGTAAATTCCGACTGAAACAGCAGGCAAAACTGAAGCAAGAATAAAGCTTAAACTATACACTCTCCTGCATGTATAAAAGTTGTGCATTTAAGAGTTTTTGTGACACACACCCATACAAATCTAATATGTGCATTTAACTAATGTCAAATAAGAATACTGCATACCTATATTGTCTGACCATGCAACTAAGAATTTTTTAATCGAAATACTTTGCATTTTGGAATTGGGAAATCTTAGCACTATAACTCAAATTTTATCAACCCCTCCCAATCATAATGTTTAAATTTACACTGCAATTCATCAGAAAGAACAGATAAAAATTGACTTAAAAACAACAATAGTGTGTGGAACTGACCTGTTATAGCAAAATGTAAAGCATTCTACCATGAATTAAACAATGTAAATAAGAACATTATATATATCTCGAAGTTTGTTCAATCATAATCGCATGATAAATTCTTGAATACATAATGATCTATTCTTACGTTTAGTATTACATATCCTAAATAAGTTGATAGATCCCCAAAATATATTTTAAAATGTTATAAAAATCAATTGGTAATTATACTACCGGTACTCGGAAGGAGAGGGTCAGAAACTTGAATTAATAACAATGACGATATCGGCAGCAAAGAATAAGAAAACATAATTGTCTTGAAACAAGAGCAAAATATATGTATCTTTGCAACTAACTGCAATAAAGTATGTCAGAAAACGAAAGGGCAAAAGCAAAAATGATCAGTAGCCAAAATTAGCCATGGCACTATTACTTGGGCCTGCTAATGTAATACCGGAAAATTTGCATGCATCAAATGTTCACAATTTTCACGAGAAGTAAAGAGTTGTAGAAGTTTCATGCTGTTAAATGATCAGATCTCAACTGTATTGTAAATCGCAAAAGTCTCTTTCCATAAAGATGACCTCACTAACAAATTGCAAACCGTAAAGTGAATTTTATTAATTCTTTACACTAGCTGACATCACCACTGCAGGACCCAATGAAAAAAAAGATTTGCAATCAATTGCAAAATGACAATGGCCAATGAAGATTATTGTTGCTTGCTCTTATTGTTCAAAAGGCTGACCATTAACCAATCAGAATCGCGGTTTTAAATAAGCAATTGATTACAAACCTCTAAGTTACGGGGGCCCTGCATTAAAAGCAGAATACAGAATACAAAAGCAAGACAGCCATGCTTTAAACAGGGCAGCTTCTCTCTCTGAAAACTACACTACAACCTATTTCATATCTGTAATCTTAATTTCTTTTCATCTTCTTGATAATGATTTTTCTTTGTATTACATCATCGGCTAATGAGGACAGCCTTATATAGAAAGCTGTTTTCTTTTGGTGATCTGCAGGCATTAGTTGATGGCTTATTTTTTGTTGTTATTGTATTCATTATAATTAAAGTTTTCTTGTATTCTTTGTTATCTTTATAATCCTTTATATTCCTGGAATGAAAAGAAAAAAAACTAAAATAAAAACACACCTATCACATGACTTGAACACAGTAACATAATACGAGGAGCCCATTGCAGAAAGGAGTATGGTTGTTCATGAATCTTGTTTTCTTGTCATGATATAAATGTAATTGTAACATTGAACTCCCTTTTTGCTGAATACCTACATACCGTAAATCTCCGTGTATAAGGCGCACCTGTGTATAAGGCGCACCCCTATTTTGGGGAGGAGAAAGGGAAAAAAAAAATTTGTTTTGTTGCCGAAAACCCACGCGGGGAAGGACCTTCATTTTACATCGAGGTGCAGTTGAAGTTGTGAACTTGTCTTAAATAAAAGTAACATCAGTCTAATTAGGCTTCATGATACCAAGTGTCCCACACCAGCCTCATCACATCACCTAGCAGAAGCACTGTGTTCTATGCTAAACATCAATAGTCATGCATGATATGAATAGCATCCTCTAAATTTCTGACAATGGAGTACCTAGGATAGAACCTTGTGGTACACCATTTGTTATAGAAAAAAAAAATTGAGGAATTATTATTATAAACTACATATTGAGATCTATTAGAAAGATTACTTTCAAACCAAGATGACAGACAAATTTGAGTGTTGTTGTAGTTTCCGAGTGGTGAGTCAACACACTGTTTACTGAGCTAGGAGACATTGCCAGGCATAGCGCCATAAATCGAAACTAAAAAAAAAAAAAAAAAAACCTTTTTTCTGTACCTGTGTACAAGACGCGACCCCGACTTTCAAATTTTTTCAGCGGCAAAAAAGTGCGCCTTATACACGGAGATTTACGTTATACACATATGCTGAAGTGCGGAAAAATGAAAATAAAATGAAGCTAATCAAAATATACGATGTGCCAGCTAAGCTCGGCAAATCTAGCACACATTTATTTCTCTTTATAAGACAAAAATAAAAAAGAATTCCCCCTAAACCATATAGCATTATATGCAACTGTTATACATTATGTAGTTTATCCGACTCAGTAATTATTATTGTTTACACAGTTTATATTTCAAAGGTTTCCGTATCCATGAGCGATACATCATTTGAACCACTCCATAAATTGTTGAATTTCATCAGCTTTTCCCTCCATGTAAAGCTTCAATTCAGAACCAGCACAATACTGTTGGGTGAGTTTCACAGTCGATCCATTCACTATACCGTACACCAAACATATGACCTACAAAATCAGAGATCTATACACATTACCTGAAGCGTACAAATAACGATTTGTTATTCATTAAAAGGCTGTGGAAAGATTGTAGTTTAAAAAACAGTCTGTGATCATCCTCAAACTTCTACCGAGATCAGTATATATCACCCTCTCCTGTAGGACTGCCTCCTAAAGTCTTTTCATTTACCATCGCTCTCTCAAGGACACCATAGAGAATGCAGAAGTGGGATGGAAGTGGTTACTAGCTTCAGTACTTGTTGATTCCGAACAACCTGAAGCCGTGAAACATGGGGAGCTTGGGGACGACTCCGAGAAGCAAGGCTGCACAGTTTATCAAGAAATGGTAGTAGCCATACTTTGTGTAAAAACTTGCCAAGAAGAATCTGTGAAACAATAATAACAAAATAAGTATTAATGTAATTTACTGCAATATGTTGACAGTAAATGAATGACACAAAAGAAAACAAAGAAATAATGGTTATGAGTCACAACACTCTTATTCAAGCCTGTTATAATCAATCAAGACTGGTCATTAATGGGCTTTCCTCTTTTCTGCCACATGATAATGTTTTGGAAACTTCACTTAACTCTGACAAAATAAATTAAATTTATCAGATTATCCTAAGCTATAATTAAGGACAACTCTAAATGAACACTTCTTGACTACCTATTCATACTTTGATAAGATGTACATTATGCAATATACATGTATATAAACAGCTTTTTGATTATTTATCTCGTTTCCTTAATTCATAGAGTATTGGTGTATAGTATACAGAGTATACAGAGTGTACAGCATTATGAAAAGAAATGAAAATGACAAGTGTGACATTTCCTGTTTACATTGGTTGACTATTTCCTGGTAGACCGAAAATAATACACCCTTACAATGTTATTTAAAGGCTTGTATGTTTAATAATAATGATAGTGGATTCTTGTATAGCGCTCATGTCTGTCAGACTTGACACTCCTGGCGCTCCACATTATTACCTTATTTTTTTGATGACTGGTTTTACCATACTCATTTTCCCCAATAGACTGTAGTGTTTTGACATTTCTAGTTCCAATTATAAATATCTTGATAATCAGACAGGCGATCGGCTTGAAAAAGTCATTGGATCCCTGACTGACCCAAAGGTTAATTATCATGATCGCAGCATGAGCTAAATCCAGAATTTTGTTTAGAATCTGAGGCAAAGATACCCAACCCCTTAAGTCCCACTGCACTACTTATAGCTACTTGCGCCCTCTAACTTTAGCTTACAATTAGCGCATGCGCAGATCGCTCATCTGATCTCAGCCTCATTTTCATAAGCTGGCGCCTGGCCTGGCCGACATAGGCCCTTCAGACTGGCTATTGCTTTTCTCTATTCACTCAATGCTATAAGATATTTATGTGAGGACAAGCTTGCGATTTTCCGTTTTTTTCGATACCAAAATTATGCTATTTCAGTCACACCCTCTATTTGTTATGATTTTTTCACTTAAGTATTTTCACTAAAGTTTAAGTTTCACTTAACTATTTTTTAAAGATAAAGACCAGTTATGGTCATGCAATTGCATTGTGAAAGAAACGTTGTGGAATCGATCAGAAAAGGTTGATCATCTAGCATATAAGTATTGGTGTGTACTGCAAGGTTCTGGAATCATCAAAATGATAAGAAATTTGGCCCAGTCTTCGTAAAGTTACAAGCACTGTACACAGAAAGATGTATTTGGGACTACGCACACGTGCGCGACACGTGCGCGACACGTGCGTTTATCTCTCACATCCCAATAGATAAACTAATTTACCAAATATAATCAATTAGTAGGCGGTTTCCCGGCAAATTTGTTATCATCATGTATTAGTCAAAACATATTCTTTCACATGATTGGTAATAAGAGCTTCCATTTCATTTTTTTAAATTGGGGCGTTTCCAATACTGGTCTTTATCTTTAAGTTTGAACGATTCTCATTTTCGTCATATTTAAGGTACAAACTGGAAATTTATTCTGAGATGTTTGTTGATTTTTCTATATTATATGTTCGCAATGCCGTGTGTGCGTCAGTTATGTGTGAAGGGCGTCACCTGTTTAAAGCAGGACGTGTCAAAATCTCTGTGGTGTGACGTAATATTATGTATTGACTTTGCCATTGAACTTAAGTTGCGCTAAGTTGCGCTTAAGTAAAGTAGTTCCCCTCGCAATTAAATTCGAAGCCATTCGAAGCCATTCGAGCGGATTGGCCAATGAGAGCGCGTAAACTCGCTGTACAGCGCTCAATGCGCAAAGTTCTTCGTGCCACGATCCTCTTTTTCTTATGTTAATTGAGAGCTGATTTGATGAGATAACCACCTGTCAGTGACCATGCAGGGAGGTCTAATCCCTCCTGGCCAAACTAGTGCAGATGGGCTATAAAGACAATTTATAATTTGAATTATATTTATTGGTATTTTTATGGTCTGACTGGCTCTGAAAGTTCTGAATTTACTCAAAGGTATTCACAATATAATGAAAAAGTGAGTATTTTTTTAGTGTTAACTGATACCCATTGACTATCTGTTTCCACGGAGTCTCATACCAATTAATACCACAACCGTCGACGTCTGACCTTAAACAAATGGCACAGTCATGATGATCTAGAATCAATTTAAAGGCACACTGTCCTACTTGTAGCTACTTGCTCCCTCTATACAGAAAACTTCCCAAATCGGTGCCTGTTGGTCACCCATGATCCTCTTTTTCTTATGTTAAATGAGAGCTGAGTTAATGAGATAGCCACCTGTCACAGTGACCTCGATGGCTCTCTGGGTGGTCTAATCCCTTCTAGCTGCAGTAGTAAAGCCTCCCTTTAACTCAGCTCTCCTGACTCATTCTGAAATCATATTTCAACTACAAGATTAATCATGCAATCTTCATCTAATGGTTGCAAGCCAAACATTTCTTTACAACAATTGAAACTTACCCCAGGAAGCCCAACATTCTAAGATTTCCAATTTTGTTTGTACCACTTTTACAACAGGGGAACAACTTGGGAACAATTCATCATCATTGTTATCATTATTTTTTACAGTCTGACCAGCCTTTTGAGGATATTTTGAGGATAATATACTCACAAGAGAACAGGAACCAAGGTGAGAAGCTTTCGTGTTGATGTGAACTGCTCTCCGTTGTCTATCTGTTCCCATTGCGTCTGATATCTCTCGCTGCCTTGGCTGTCTGCCCAGATGGACCCTTTCACATGGTGGAAAAAGAAGTATGTCACCTGCAGGAAGGATGGAAAGAAACACAAATCAGTTTTAATGTCGATTAAAATTAACAATAGTTAGATAATCAAAATTAAACTAGTCAAGTACTCTAAGCTTCTTTCGTATGAGGTAGTAGTATCATATATCAAGTTATCTCTTGAAGCTAGGTAAGCCAGTTGACGTGTGCATAATTTGGGCTTGACAGATCAGTCATCCCGTCAGGAGGTTTGAGAACAGGGCAGTTGTAGATGACATGATCTGCCGTCTGCTCATCTGCACCACAGATGCATGCCGGCGATTCCCGAAGTCCCCAACGGTACATATTGGCGTTGAATCTTCCTACCCCAGTTTGCAGTCTATTGAGTGTTACCCTATTCCTCTGAGGTAGCTCAGAGCCTGCCGAAGCTTTGATGCCAAGTGGAACAGTGAGCTGCCGTGGGCGTACCATCCTACCAAGCTCTTGTCCCACTCTTGGATTAGGCTTAAGTCTGATCTGCTGTGGGCGGTTGCATGTCAGGAGAGAGGTCGACGCGATCGAAGGCGTTGGCGACCTAAATCTTGGGATTATGTCGTTATTTTGTGTAGGGAGTGATCGTCATCAGCAAGGGATTTGTTTGTCAGCTTGTCTGTCAGATTCTCTCGGCGTAGCCTTGGTGGTGCAATTCCTACAATGACTGGGAGGAGATCTGTGGGTGTAGGGCGGAGACATCCAGTGTCATGAAGTGCACAGCCCAGCTTTCTGGTATTCCTGCACCATGTTTGTGCAGCATATTCAGCAGCGCTGAAAACCAGGGCTAATGCTCCTGTGCGACACTACATGTTTCCACCATACATGTATCCACACTACATGTACAGTATATCAAGGAAATCATTTTGAATTTCAAAGGGTATTTGCCCAAGAACCCCTGGTTTAGGGAGGGCAAAAATCCATGGGAGCTAAGAGCTGATTACATCCTGTCAGACCAAACCCTGCCAATGTACTCAAACTGTGTAGTGAAGTTACAATCAATGTCTACATTGAGCCAACCTTGCCCGCATGCCTTCTTGAAGAGAGTTGCACCCTGGGAAAGCCACAATCTGATATATGCAATTCAATTTTCCACGATGTGTAACACAATTTTTAGTGTCCTACTTAGCTAACCTTGCCTTCATTCCTTCTCAAAGAAAAAGATTCCCTGAGAAAGCCACAATCTGATATGCAATTTAATTTTCCATGTAGTGTAACACAGTTTTCAGTGTCCACACTGTGCTAAATTTGCCCTCATGTTCTATGGAGACAACCTCACCCTCCTTTTGAATTCTACTTACCAACAAGGGAAACGCTCTCGGCGGTCTCGCCTGCATAACGCAATTCAATATGATAAACCAGAACGTCAATGACGTAGTGCTCATCCGCATCTCACAACAACAAATATCGTAAATTTTATGTGGTACACTTTTGAACTGGTCAAAAAGTAGAAATTTGATGCCCTGGAAGGGACATAATTTCATTTCATTTGCATAAAGTACCATAAATAATCAATGGAGCAAAATCTCACAATTCTGTGTAGAAGTTTATTGTTCCAAATTTAGCTCTACCAGATAAGGCAAAATCGGTCAAGAAATGAGGGAAAAGAAGCAATTTTTGTTATTTTTGGAATAAATTTGCATAAATTACCATAATTAATTAATGGAGAACAATTTCAAAATTCTGTGTAGAAATTTAGTGTACCAAAGTTAGCTCTACGATATAAAGCAAACCAAATCAAAATCGGTCGAGAAATGAAGGAGAAGAAGCCTTTTTTGTGATTTCGAATAAATTTGCATAAATTAGCAGAGATAATGAATTTCACGATTCTGTGTAGAAATTTTAAATCCCCTCCTAGCCCTATCATATGAAACAATCAGAATCAAAATCGGTTGAAAAATAACGAAGAAGAAGCATTTTGAAAATCTTAATGTTGATGCCACAACAAAGTCTAAGTTTGTTGACCTTAAATGGCCTTTGACCTTAACTTAGTGACCTGAAATTCTACTCACATGATTGGGGAGACTTGATAACCCTATAGTCCAAGTTTCATTGACTAAGAACTTATACTTTCAAAATTATATCAAAAATTCAAAAACTTAACCTTAGGTTAAGTTTTCGATGATGATGCTACAACATAGTCCAAGTCTGTTGACCTGAAATGACCTTTGACCTTGACTTTGTGATCTGAAATTCTACTCACATGATTGGGGATACTTGATTACCCTAAAGTCAAAGTTTCATTGACTAAGAACTTATACTTTAAAAATTATACCAAAAATTCAAAAACTTAACCTTAGGTTAAGTTTTTGATGTTGACGCCGTCGCCGCCGCCGTCATCACCGGAAAAGCGGCGCCTATGTCTCGCTTTTGCTACGCAGGCGAGACAAAAATTACCTTCATGCCTTCTAAAAGAGAGCCACACGCTAACCTGCAATAAATTTCCTCTCCCCGATTTCAACTTACCACAGTGTCTACACTGTGCTCTCACTAAAACTCGCCCATCTGTGTTGCAACCATGAGTTGTAGACACTGGGCTTAATGCCTTCTCTACATCCATCCCATGACAGCCACAGATTATCATGCAATGTAACACCATGCAATTCACATTACCATGCCGACTACCACAGCTGTCAGTGGCCACAGTCTCCATACTGTGTTATTGCTTGCATTCATGTTTTAGGGTGCGTTTATTGACCAAATTTTTGCCTAGAATCAGGTTTCTCAAACATCTTTCAGGCAAATTTTGAAGGTGATAAACGCAAAGCCTTTTTTAAACGTCTTTAGACATGGGCATACCTAAAGATGCAAAAAGGTGTGTTTTGAATGTGACATACAGCCAGAATCACGTTTCTGAGAGATGATAAACGCAAAGCTGTTTTGAACCCCACATACCTTCCCAGGCTAATTTCCGGATGGCGCGCCATGTGTTGTTGTACAAGCATGTCTAGTTGACCTCCGAAAAACTGTCTGCTTCCTGGGTCAAACGGGTTAAATGGGTTAACTTTGCCTTCACGCTTTTGGCGGCCACACCTTCAGTACATTGTGTATCAGTTATCAAGTGTCTCATCCCTTCTTTGATTGAACCACACCCTCAGAGAGCTACTAGTACAAACCAAACCTGCATTTCAACTTACCACGTTGAGTATCATAGCTGTTAGTGTCCACAGTCTCCACTGTCCACAGTGTGTTAACTTTGCCTTCACGCTTTAGGCAGCCACACATTCAGTACATTGTGTATCAGTTATCAAGTGTCTCATCCCTTCTTTGATTGAGCCACACCCTCAGAGAGCTACTAGTACAAACCAAACCTGCATTTCAACTTACCACATCGAGTATCATAGCTGTCAGTGTCCACAGTCTCCGAACTGTGTTAACTGTGCCTTCACGCTTTTGGCAGCCACACCTTCAGCACATTGTGTATCAGTTATCAAGTGTCTCATCCCTTCTTTGATTGAACCACACCCTCAGAGAGCTACTAGTACAAACCAAACCTGCATTTCAACTTACCACGTTGAGTATCATAGCTGTTAGTGTCCACAGTCTCCACTGTCCACAGTGTGTTAACTTTGCCTTCACGCTTTAGGCAGCCACACATTCAGTACATTGTGTATCAGTTATCAAGTGTCTCATCCCTTCTTTGATTGAGCCACACCCTCAGAGAGCTACTAGTACAAACCAAACCTGCATTTCAACTTACCACATCGAGTATCATAGCTGTCAGTGTCCACAGTCTCCGAACTGTGTTAACTGTGCCTTCACGCTTTTGGCAGCCACACCTTCAGCACATTGTGTATCAGTTATCAAGTGTCTCATCCCTTCTTTGATTGAACCACACCCTCAGAGGGCTACTAGTACAAACCAAACCTTCATTTCAACTTACCACGTTGAGTATCATAGCTGTTAGTGTCCACAGTCTCCACTGTCCACAGTGTGTTAACTTTGCCTTCACGCTTTAGGCAGCCACACATTTAGTACATTGTGTATCAGTTATCAAGTGTCTCATCCCTTCTTTGAGTGAGCCACACCCTCAGAGTGCCACACCCTAAGAGGGCTACTAGTACAAACCACACCTTCATTTCAACTTACCACACTGTGTACCACAGTTGTCAGTGTCCACACTGTGCTGACACTGAAGAAAGGCAAACTGAGAAGGAAAAGGTGCATGCCGTACACGCCCACAATGTAAGAGAACCACACCCCTCTGCTGTGCAACCAGGAGTGGTAGGTACTGGGCTTATCTGCGGCATCCCCGTTCGTAAGGCTCGCTGAGCTGGGCGATTTCTCGAGCTTCATCGTGTGGGTGAGGTCGCTTGCAGGGTCAAAGGCGTAGGGGTCCTAGGTGAAAGGTCAGGCACTGGGATCACCTGTTGTTATAACGGGCAAGAGATGAGCTTTGGTGCAGCAGGACAGGAGGTAGTTCAAAAGACCTTTTGTCTAGTTGGTCTTGGGTTACACTGAAATGATAAAATTATGTTGAAATTATTAGCACACGAACATGTACAAGAGTAAAGAGAGTTATGTGTATCATAATACTAGAAAATGAGAGTGAGCAACAGAAACAAACAAAAAATGATAGGCTATCATATACAATTGTACATATGGAAGGTTAAAGGTAAAGACCAGTTATGGTCATGCGATTGCATTGTGAAAAAAACGTTGTGGAATCGATCAGAAAAGGTTGATCATCTAGCATCTAGCATCTGCAAGGTTCTGGAATCATGAAAATGATAAGAAATTTGGCCCATTCTTCGTAAAGTTACAAGCACTATACACAGAAAGATGTATATGGGACTACCCTATATCTCTCACAGACCATGAGAGAAACAAATTTACTAAATATATGAATTAGGAGGCGGTTTCCCGGCAAATTTTTTATCATCATGTATTAGTAAAAACATATTCTTTCACATGATTGGTAATGAGAGCTTCCATTTCATTTTTTGAAATTGGGGCGTTTCCAATACTGGTCTTTACCTTTAAGTCATTTTTTTCTTAATGATATCATATGTTCTTTTGTTGCTTATTTATTCCTTGAAACGCAGCGCGCGTAATAGAGACTTCTGATAAAGTAATTGTTAGGCGCTCTATATACCGGTAAGCAAGGATAATTATGATTATTATTGTTTGTTTTGTTCGATTGATTTTATTTCTGCGTTAAAAAAGATACAAATTCAAATTCAAAGTATAAAAAGTCGAACACAACAAATACAATGAATAAAATGTTTACAAAAGTAATTAAATAGAAAATCATGTACAATTATATCATTATGCAGTCATGTGCAGATACTCAAATTATTGTTTTATTTCCATTATCATAGTTATACAGTAGGCTTGCGGGTGCACCCGCAAGCCTACTACTGTATATCTACATCACCATACAAGCCGACACTTACAAGCAGCATATTATCATAGTTGTTGTTGATTATTGAATTCCATGCAGTCCTTTTGAACAATATTTATGCAAAACAAATCTGAGTGGTTCATTTCATAATTTCATACATTATACCGTTCTTTCTCCACCACCTCCCTTCACTTTCTCTTTCTAATCAAACACACACATTGCACTCCTCCTATTCATATATGTGCACACATGAAATTATCAATTTCCTCACCATCACATCACACTCCTCTTAGGCCTAAAATAAAAACTTGTTGTATTGCCCTTTGCGACCGACCCAAAAATCTACGGTTGGCATTTTAAAAAGTTTTTTTTTTTTTTTAAACCGTTTTTTAGATTTTTTAAAAATGAATGAATAAAATAACATGTACTTTGTTTGTTTAAATAGGAGAAAATCAAATTATTCCAAAATGCTCACTCGTGCAAACCATGGATATTTGTGAGATGAAAAAGATATCAATGGAATGATGACGATGTATTGAACCACTCAAAAAAAGGGGAAAATATCAGCCAAAAGAGGGCAGGGAAAAAAGAATAAAAAACTCTACGGTTGGCATATAATTTTTTTTTTTTTTTTTTAAACCATTTTTTAGATTTTTTTTAAATTAATGAATAAAATAACATGTATTTTGTTTGTTTAAATGGGATATTAAATGGAGAAAATCAAATTATTCCAAAATGCTCACTCATGCAAACCATGGATAATTATGAGATGAAAAAGATATCAATGGAATGATGACGATGTATTGAAGCACTCAAAAAAAGGGGGAAATATCAGCCAAAAGAGGGCAGGGAAAAAAGAATAAACTAGATGGAATTCGACTGCGCGCAGTCGAAAATGATGCCTCCGTCATAGAGCAATTTTACAAACCGAAACGGAAGAAATTTTTCAAATTCAAGTTCAATTGTAATCCATTAACATGTTCTCAGAATATCGTGATTACAAGCAATTTCTCATATACATATATGACCCTTTGATCTTTGACCTCATGACCCTAAAATCTACTCAGTTCATTGGCTCTGCAAGATTTCCTGAGTTAAATAGTAATCCATCTGTCAGTTCTAATGAGAATGCGTCCACAAGCTATTTTTGCATACATAATGAGCCCATGACCTTTGATCTTATGAACCATTCATTGGCTCTGCAAGATACATAAATGATCTAAGTTTGGCAGGAATCCATCAATCTGTTCTAATGATAATACGATCACAAGCTATTTTTGCATACATAATGAGCCGCATGACCTTGACCTTTACCTCATGACCCCAAAATCTAATCAGTTCATCAGCTCTGCAAGTAACATACATGACCTAAGTTTGGCAGGAATCCATCAAATGGTTCTTGAGATAAGGCGATCACGAGCTGTTTTTGCATACACAATGTGCGCTGTGACCTTTGACCTCGTGACCCCAAAATCTATCAGTTCATTGGCTTTGCAAGATACATACATGACCAAAGTTTGGCAGGAATCCATCAATCGGTTCTTCAGATAACGCGATCACAAGCTGTTTTTGCATACATAATGAGCCCTGTGACCTTTGACCTTTGACCTCGTGACCCAAAATGTAATCAGATTGTTTTCCTATAGTGATACACACTATCACTAAGTTTGAAGTTTAAATCTCCAGTGGTTCTTGAGATATCATGATAACAATCTCAATGTATGGAATTTCATAAGTTGACCTCTGTGACCCTTGACCTTTGACATACGTGCTCCAAAATCTAATCAGATCGTCTTCCTATGGTGATACATACTATCCTTAAGTTTGAAGTTTAAATCTCAAATGGTTCTTGAGATATCGCGCTAACAAACTCAATACAAGGAATTTCATAAGTTGACCTCTGTGACCTGTGACCTTTGACCTACGTACTCCAAAATCTAATCAGATCGTCTTCCTATGGTGATAAATACTATTCCTGAGTCTTAAGTTTAAATCTTAAATGGTTCTTGAGATATTGTGATAACGGTCAAACGGGACGTACGGACGGACAACCCGAAAACATGATGCCTCCGGCACCACCTTCGGTGGCGGAGGCATAAAAACAACATTAACATTCAAATCTGAAAAAATATCGACCCTAAGAGGGCGACAAAAAAAAAAGTTAAAAAAATAAAAATCTGACCGACCTACCCATGTTTTGACACCCAAAGGGCAATACAACAAGGTTTTATTTTAGGCCTTATCCTACCCCTCTCTTTATCTCCCTCTCTCTCTCTCTTCTTTATTCATTCACTCTCTCTGTTTCTCTCTCTGTCTCTTTCTGCACAACCAATCATACTACGCCATGTTAGCGGAGCACTATTAAATACCATGACAATGATAACATTACCATAATAAAACATTTATTATCTGAGACTGAGAATTTGGGTCGTAAATAATAGATGACTCATTTAAATTAGAACAAGCAAAGTTTGCAAGTTTCATCAGGAAAATGTGAAGATGATTTTAATCATTCAAGTATTCAATGTTGACATACATTAAACCCCATACAATGTAGTCTACATTGCTTCTTTTGAGTTGCTACTGGTAATCTTGCATTAATACATGTACATGTATGTTTTAAAACTAATTAAAGGGATCGTTTAACAATGTTAAATCTGAGATGCACAACCCTACATGTACGTGTTATCAGTGTCTTTGATAAGGTGTTATATTGAAGCCCTAAAAGAATTGCGCCTCAAAAAGAGTAAAAACCTTTGTATTCTTAACAGCAACATTTCATGCTACATGTATAATACGACACTTTGTGACTTTTCCTTTCAAGACTTCTCGTACCTCTTTTTAAACCAAGTTTACAAACATTTGATTAACTAAACTGTCAGTCACATGACCTTTTGTGACCTCGTATCAGCTAGAAAATTGAGAATCTCTGTGCGTTGTGTACGAGATGATTTTTGCTGTCAAAGCAAAGGTGTGCCCTTTGTTGCAGACAATGAGAAATATTGCAATAGTTGTATAGCCCATCCAAGATAATCCAAAATGAAGTCCAACTCATTGTACACTAATTTGGTAACACTTTTGAATTTCTGCTATTTTCTGGGATTTGTTGGGAAAACAAAAAAATTCTTAAATGTTTAATTTTCTTCATCACAGTGTCTACTGACTTATCTGCAGATCATGGTCGAGCAGATTAAAAACATCGATGGACATCAAACATATTCCACAGGATGGCACAGGTATTATCCCCATTTTTTTTCTCCCTAGGAAGCCAGCAAAGTGCAGGGAGGTTCGGATATTCACAAAACATTGGGAGTAAAGAAACCAGGTAACACACCTGCAGACCACATTTTAATGACATTAAATTCTCACTGTGCATGGAGGATTTGCTTGTTTCATCAAGATTACAACACAATGCGTACAATACAATGTCCACTTAGAGTCAAAAGGATGTTAATGTCCTTTGGCAAGACATTGATCTACATTTGCCACACTCCACCCAGGTGAAGTAAATGGGTACCTGGTAGGAATTTATTCCTTGAAACGCAGCGCGCGTAACAGCTGCACTGCTAAAGCCAGGGTAATTATGCTGCATTATTGTAGAGTGCTTAGAGACTTCTGCATAGGAAGTGTTAGGCGCTATATAAGCAAGGATAATTATTATTATTATTATTAACTCCAACACTTAATACTAAAACCTTCTGGCTCTGTACAAATGACATGCTTAGTTTAACCTAAAAAAACACCTCTTTATTTCAGATTTGTTGCCTATTTTATTCCTGAGGTGGCCTCTAATGATCTTATCCAACCCCTGTCACATTAATTACCAAGTTTATATCAATTTTTTTTCTCCACATGACAGGTACATTGTATACAGGCCTTAAAAATTTCAATATTTTTAGGCCAAGGCCACTTTTCTGTAGGGCACATTCCTATATTACAGCACAAATAGGAAGAATTTGAAAGGGCACAACAAATCTCCAAGGCCAATGAGAGGGGCATTGAGGCCAATCAAAAGGCCATGGCCTTCGATTAATTTAAGCCCTGTTGTATGCATATTACTCATCTCCGATAACAATAAAAAAACTTCCATTGTCCATGTTTCCAGTATGAAGAATGATATTCTCCAGGTAATGACTGCTAGTTGCTGTATTAGCCTGTCAAAAAACAATGCATTGTACACCTATTCATTATGAATGCTGTTACATGTACATGTACATGGCACACTGTTAGGTTTGTTCAAATTCATGACTTGTAAAAAATTTCAATGGATGCATTTTTTTGATATTCATCTGGATACAGTCAAACCAGCTTTAGTCTACAAAGACCACCTGTCTACAACAAGCACATTTCTTGCTTCCCTTGAACATGGTTTCTCATTGAAACATGTACTAAAGGAACCTGTCTACAAAGACCACCTGTCTACAAAGACCACTTTTTGTGTTTCCCTTGGGCGATCGCCGTAGACATGTTTGACTCTATAAGGATTTCAGTCCATCGCCAATTCATGCTCCGTGAAGTAGCCCATACGCATCAGGCGAAGTTCCTTGCCAATTTCTAGCAATGCGTGATTCTGTTCTCTCATGACTTCAATGTACTCTTGACAGTATTTGTCTGACATGACCGCAACCGGAGGTATCTTCACCTCAACAGGGTTCATCATCGCGTTGAATGAAGTCATTTCTGGCATCGGCTTTGGGGTCTTCTTCAGTTTCTTGATCTTTGGCATCACCTGATAAGAGGCTTTTCCTTTCGGAAGTTTCGGCTTTGAGAATTTGGATAAAGGTTTCCCTGCCCCCGAGTCCTGTGGGCTTAACTTGCTGTAAACCTGGTAGTACTGCTCGAACTTCTGGAACAGCTCTCTGGACCCTCGCAACTTGAGAGGTCCGGAGGAGCTGCCGCTGCCACGGTTCACCAACTTGCGGTACTCTCTGCTAAGGTTCTTGAGGAGCCCTGCCACAAGGATCCCATCGGTGTTGACGATCTGGCCGATGTAATCGTGGAACTCGGTGATCTGGCGTTCCATCTTCGCCTTCTGGTAGACGGGATACTCGTTGATGTAGATGTCCAGGAGGCCCATGATTCGTTTCTCCGGCCAGGTTGATCGTGACCTCAAGGGAGCCATGTCTGGGTCGGTGAAGTAACCAGAGGGGTATTCTTGACCATCGTCCATCTGTTGGTCACTCTCAACCACGCTTGGTAAACCAGCTTGCACCACAACCACCTCTGCGTGTTCTTCTTGGATGTCATTATGTCTGTCATGTAGCCCTGCCTTGTCAGATGCCATTTCTTCTTTCGACAAGTTCTCAGATACTTCCACGATATCCATCTTGAAACAAGAGAGTTAAAGAGGAAAGTAAAAACATAAATTAATGAAAGTTGTTGAAAGGGCACAATTTTTGGTTGTTTTAAATTAGATCTACAGTAACTTTGATCAGAACTATATCTGCATACAACCATTATGTAGTGAAAAAATATAACCCCCAAAATGCCCAAAAGAGCTCCCGAAAGTCATAAAAGAGCCCCCAAAATTTGCATAGAGTTCACTGCAAAACAAATTAAAGAGTGCTATTTTCATGCAAGCAAGCTGGAAAAGTAGCCCCCAAAATTTTAAGTATTTTTTTCCCTGCGAAAGATGTCAAAGGCACATTGGCATTTTCAGAGATATTGAATGTGTTACAAGTTTTTCCAATATAATGTACCGACTACCGGTAGAGCAAATAAATATTCCTATGAAAAAAAGACCTTCAGTTAAACCAAGCTAGATCAAGATTTGTTATAATCTGAATCTAAATTTTGATCTGGTACTATAGTTCAACAAAAACAATATCATCATTGTTATTATAATCAATATCAATTATCATTAATATCAATATCATAATATCAATATATCATAATATCCCTATCATTATTCCTATTAATTATTTAGGGTAGGCCTAGATCTATAGGCTATACTAATAGCTTTAATTAATATTGTACTTCCTGCATGTATACCCGAATCTATGTTCAAAGAGCAGAAATAGCATTTCACTCGTTTATTATAAACATCTATGATCTAGGCTGTATGTTAATTGTTATGGTCAGCTAGATCTAGTACTACTAGACCCTCTACTAGTACTACACTTTTCTCTTTTTAAGGCAGGTTCCTTTTCCCCTCTCATATTCATAATTCTTACTAAAGAGGGTAGAAATTGTTGTTCATACTCACCACAACTGATTCAACTTCTGTAAAATCTCCAAACAATCCAATTCTGCAGGTCTTTTAGAGCTAAAATATAAGTTTGAAGTGAAAACCTTGCTTCGTTTCAGCTCTTGGCATTGCAGTACATTAGCAGACAGTGCAGTGTACACATAACACCATGTACATACACAGCACATCATACAGCCCTTCAAAATGTCTGCTCTGTGGTGTGATCAAAGCACTCACACACTCTCTCCAGTGCAGTGTAACTCATAGACATGTTGTGTGTCTGTGTATGCACTCCTTCATTATGTGTGGATGGAGTGTGTATGAGTTAAAGTGCAGGTGCAATGCTCAAATAACACCATTGCACTGTACAGTGTATACAACACTCCCAGTCATATACACAGAACACACTTTACACACAAAGCCCCTAGATGCATATGACACGCTTATGCAGGCTCAGGGTAAAGGTGTCAAAAGTTTGGACTGATCCACTGCAAAAGGAGGGGTGTTCAACTTAGTATAGTGAGTGTTTTTATGACACCTTATGCAGCCAGAGAAGTGTTGCATTCCCCCCCCCCCCACACTCCCCGGGGGGGGGGGGGGGGGGGGGGGGGGGGGGGGGGGGGGGGGGGGCTACATATAAATCAAAGTCAACATGATCTGTTTTTCTCATTTCATTTCAATATTTTACTAAAGGACCAGTCAACCTTTCTCTGAAGGCAAACTCAAAAGCAATTACGTAACTAGTAACTACCTATCTAGCAAACGAGTTAAAGGGATAGTTCAGTTCTGTTTTAAAACCCAACATTGCTATGAAATTAATTTTAGACCCCAAAATGTGTGAAATTTAGCCAATACGATCATTCCAATTCAGCTCCATTTTCAAAAAAATATGGTGACCGTTAATTAATTAATTAATTAATTATTTACGTCCGCAACATACCATACCATACCATACCATACCATACCATACCATACCAAGGCGACCCTTCATACATCATCGACATCATCAAGGTGCCTAAGCAGCGTAAAGGCGTTTCTCCGTAGGCAGATAGTCGCGTAGTAGTGGGACGGATAACATCTTTCCATCGAGCCCTGTACATGTCCTTCAGCGTCCGCAGTGGCAGAACATTACCGCTGGCTCCTGTGTCAACCTTTGCATTGAGGCGATGATGACCCCTCAGGTCTGGACATATGATGTTGATACTCGCATATGCTTCGGTCTCCTCCGAGTCAATAGAGTTTAGCGATATATGTATCATGTGGAATTCACGTTCCCCACTGTCCGGTTGGTTTGTGTCGTCCGGTCCAATTTCGTCAACCTTACGCTGGTTCCTGCTATGAAAGGATGTAGGCCTATACTGCCTGTTTCTGGGCTGTCTCTGCTGTGAGCTCCACCTGTCTTGTGATGGTGGACGTCTAGGAGGGATCTTCGGTTTGACCTGTTCTTTCGTCTTTCGACACATCTTCGCCCAGTGTCCTTTGATGCCACACGAATTGCACAGGTCCGCGAAGGCTGGACACCTCTTTGGAAGGTGTGAAAGACCACAGTTCCTGCATTTCTGCCTACTGTCGTGACTAACAGCATCAATGTTCCCACTTCCAATGGTGTGGAGCGTCTGCAGGCACTGTTTACCGACTTGAATGGCCTCATATTTGCGGCCTTCTTCAAGAAGCTTATCAATTGAGAACCCCTTTTCTTTGTCGAGTAGGTCTTTCTGAAATGACTCGAGTTGTGTAGACGAAATCACCAGCTCTATGAGTCTTTCACTCAATTCCCCCTCAGTGAATTTGCATTCCTTTGCCTTACTCCGACATCTATTGACGAACTCGTCGATCGTTTCTCCAGACATCTGCTTGTATCGCATTAATTCGAGACGATGAATCCTGAAGTTCACTTTGACATTCAGTTGGCCTTCGATTAGGGCCCATAGCTTGCCTGGGTCCTTCTGATCCTCTACACTGAGGCTAGAGGCGTTTATCCTGCGTAACCCTTCGTTCCCAAGAGCTATCTTTATTTTTGTTGCCTGTTTTGTAGTATCAGTTATCTCATTATCGAGAAGGCAAAGTTCCATTCGCTGTTGAAATAACGTGAATTCTTCAGCGAGACCACACTGAGGGTCCCACTTCATCTCTGGATAGCGAGCCATGGTCCTGGTTTCTACAATGGGGTCTTGGACTACACAGGTAATTACATGTAATACATGAATTGTGACTTAAATCGACATGTAGGCCTACATAGCAATTAGCATTTACACTATAGACTAGATCTATATGTACAACTTCAAAATGTAGGTTCAAATGTATCAAAATATATCAAGTCTAGATCCATAGACAATTAGACCCCCTTGTGTAATTGGTCTAGCAAAGACAACTGGTCCTGGACCCGCTTTAAGGGGATACCACGGACCACTGTTTGGTCTATAGTACCAGTGGCAGTAGAGTCTACCACCACTAGATCTAGATCTAAGTTAGTAATAGTACATCAGCACTTCTACATACATGTAAGAGATATGTGTGTATCATTCACTTAATTAGGACAGGTCCACATGTAGAAATTGGACTTGTTAAGGTCTAAAGTAAACACATCTAGAAATCTAGACTAGGCCTAGTCCAGATCTAGACCAGGTCCAGTAATATAGAACAAGGTGAAAGTAGATTTTGATCAAATTACACCTTCTTAGTCATACTCATTCTCATAGTTACTCGGTCTAGTCTAGATCCATAAGTGGAGTCTAGACTAGAAAAAGGTGTCTAGACTATCTATCTAGGCTAGGTCTTGATCTAGACCCCTAGACTAGACTAGACTCTAGTCCAGTTTTATACGACAAACAAAGCACATTAATTATGGTTTAATTGTTTCAAACCGAGTCCAAACATTATATGTCTGCTTAGATTATAGTCCATTTGATTGAGAGTCTAATCTAGTTTTCATTCCACAATCAGATCCGGCCAAGTCCAGCAATCAGTCCTGGATCTACTTGCACGGTCCGCAACACGACGCTCTGGGTCCGAGTGGCGGCTAGTTCCAAAACCATAATGCAGTGCAGGGCTGGAAGTCCGAGGTAGCGGCCTTAGAGCTGTACTGTTCCCGGTCCCGGTCGAGCCTCTAGGCTCTGGTCTTGTCGAGCCTCTAGGCTCTTCTCCTGACGAGCCTCTAGGCTCTGCTCCTGGCGAGCCTCTAGGCTCTGGTTCTGCCTCCGCATCAGTTCTGGTCCTGAATGTATAGGGCTTTAGTCTGACAGTCAATACACTAGTCTACTCGTAGTGTTTCCCGCGTAATATAGTGCGCAACCTTACGCCGACACAAAGTCATACTCATATTGGAGACGCGGCTGTGAGTTTACTCTGCTGGCTGTGCAGTGTGATTGTCGGCAGTTCAAAAACCGTCCCTTATCAATCTTTCATAAGTCATTCAAGATTATTGCTTGCCCTATGTGATCTGCAGTTCAATAGTAATAGATATGGCAATTCTTTTGACCGCTGCCACCATGTTGAAAGATCAGATGAACGGATAAATAAGAGATCACTGTAGACAAGGTTCATGTATAAGTGGCCATCTTGAAAGTGCTTTATTCATGTATCCTTCCGCCAATCGCGGCCTCATTACGCACATCAATGAACTATTGGTGTTGTTCATATAGTACCACAACACATGGGCCGGCTGGTTGTGCGTAATATAACCAACACGAAAATGCCAACAAAAAAGCCAACATCGGCATTGGCTGAAATATGACGTAAAAGGTACTATTTCGATTTTTCAATGGCTTTTTCAAATTATCTAATATTTGTGGTCATCATCATGACCACATCATCATCAACAAAATCAACTACCGGTATATTAATTACATGTAATATACACCTCCTCCTCCTCCTCATACAACTAATAAAGTACCAATATAATAATAATGATACTAATTTCATTCTGTTTGAATATTTCTGTTTGAATATTAAGCCCCGTCTTAATAGAACTGCATCGATCTCACCCGAGCGATATGTGGATGAGAAACAGTGGGGGGTCTGATCGTAAAACACGGGGTGAGCTTTTGGACACCGTCTTAATCAGCCATCCGCAAAAACCTCACCCGCGTCATCAGCTGGCGCGCGTTGTGTACATGTATACATTTTTTCATGGTAATGACGTAATTTACCCAGGTTAATGTCACCCGGGTAAATATCACCCTGGCTCGTCTAGGATGAGATTTACCTCGATATTGCCGGACGTTACCCCGTTTGACGCGTCTTAATCGGAAGTGGGTAAATGTCGTCCGGGCGTCACCGCGACTTTATTTTGCAATTAAGACGGGGTTTAATAAACCGACATGCAAAAAAGAGTGCTTTTAAATTATAAGGAAATCTACAATTTACAAGCCTACCCTTTTACTTGATGCTCTCATATACTGCAAATATCTCTGCCAAATTTCAGTTTGAATACTGTGCCATTACGTGGTTATTACTGTACGTTTGCTCAACTCTATTATACTTTCAGGCTAGATATCGTTGTATGTATTGTTTATACCTATTGAAAGAATCCTTTTTCATTCTTATTGTTTATTCATTTATTGTATTTGTTTATGATTTATGTGATAAATGTGAATGTGAATGTGACATATGAAGTAAACTACTAGTAAACTGAAAACTGAATAATAATAATGATAATGATAATGATAATAACAATAATCATTACAATAATAAGAAAATGATAATAAAAGGAACAAGAAAAAGAAGAAATAAAGAAATGAATAGATGAATAAAACATGTTATTTTTCAAAAGAGACAATAAAAGATCAAGAAAACCAAGGTTTTGCTAATAACATTTGCTTTGTATGTTTCTAAGTCAAAAATTTCTATTTAAAAAAAAGGTGATAATTTATCTCACTACTATTACATGTAGATACTATTATAATTATCAATATGACTATTATTATCATTATTACCATTATGGGACACTTTGAAAGTCCGCAGAACCAAAGCCAGACTAACTGCATTGTATAAGGAAACGCATGGATTAACACCCAGCAACATATCGACCTATCTCCATTCTCCAGCTCCCTAACTCAAGTAGATGCAGGTATAAAACAAGACAAAGGGGAACTTATAAATACCATGTCATTAGTTCCAACAAAGACTGCTACCGGCATTCCCTGTACCCCAAGACCGTCCCCGAATGGAAACGATCTAGATGAGAAAACCAGAAACTCACCCGATGTGAAAACTTTTAAAATCAAATTGGACTCATTAGACATTATAAACCTTGTAGCCGAATCACACTTCAATATTTAGGCGTGTTTAGCGTTTTGATCCTAACCCAACGTACGCGACAACCAGATGCTGGTGATTGTACGTCCCAGACAGATGCAGATGCAGATTATTATTAAATTCATTATTATTATTACTATTATTAATACTAATATAATTATCATCATTATCATTAAAATAATTGGGTTTTTAAGGGAGAATATTTCATTTCCTACCATAATTGCATACACAAAGCAAAGTCACCTTGAAGTGATACATGTACAGTACACCCAGCTTGTTGACTTATCAAAAAGTATTTACTGTTGGTCTAAATATGGAGAGTTTAATTCCAAAAGGAGCTAAATCCACTTTTGATGGAAATGGAGTTATTGATATCAGAAAAAAAAGCCCCACTGCCCTACTTGTAGCTACTTGCTCACTCTATATACTATATAGAAAACATCCCCAATTGGTGCCTGTTGGTCCCCCATGATCCTCTTTTTCTTATGTTAGTTGAGACCTGAGCTAATGAGATGGCCACCTGTCAGTGACCTCGCTGTGTGGTCTAATCCCTTCTGGCCCAGTAGTATTGACAGTCTTTAAGTACCCGTCTTTCAACAAAAGTATTTACCTAAATTTTGGGAGCAATTATGAAAAAAATGCACCTTCTAATATCACTTTTCTATAGACGCCTGTACAAAATCTGGGAAACAAATCCTTTTTTCTCCAAAGTTATAACAATGGATTTAGCTCCTTTTGGAATAAAACTCTTCATATATATTTCTCAAGAGTTCAAGGAACTTCCCTCACATAGAGTCAATACTCTTCTTATCTCTATACAATGGCTGCAACAAACTTTTGAAGGAGTGGCCTCAATACTTCACAAGATGTCTTGATTACTTGAATATTATCAAAGTAAACATACAGTCTGCAGTCTACAATGTATAATATGTGATTTATAAACTTCCAAGCTGCAAGGCTGAAAATCACATAGTGTATTGTACCAAGGAGGATATTACAATGGTATCTCTTTGATTGTCCCGGTAAAATAATAATACCAAGTGTTATTCCATATACTTGGTTTAATGTAGCCAACTATGGACCTAATGGCTGTGCATTTTAAACTTGTTAAAATAAACAAATAAAGCTGGAGTGGTAGTCTAAATACTGTTTAATCTTTTGTTTCAGGGGTGGATGTTTTAATGGTCACTAGTTACAAAATATACCGGTAATCCATAAATGTTGCATAACTGTCATTGTTTAACCACTACATAACATCAGAGATGCCAAGTTGCCAACCTCTTGACACAAAAAAACAGACTGAGTATCCTAAAAAAATCAGATTTTGGAGAGAAAAATCAGATTTTCACGAAAACTTGACACAACAACTGGCCCGTCGGCCCCGGGCCAGTAAAATTTCAGAAAAATGTTTTACTGGTAAGTACGGTCAAGTAAAATGTTTGCTCTTTCATTAAAATTTAATGAGAAAATTGTACAGCAAAGTTTTTTTGGGGGTTGCACGGGTTTACTTGGGTTTCTATGCGATTCCGCTGTTTTTATGGGTTTTTAAATTTATTTAAAAAAAAGAAGATTTTTGTTGTTTTGTTGTTGTTGTTGTTGAAAAATTGTATTTTAAGAGGTGATATCGTATTATCGTATTTCACTCTTATTATCGTACTAAATACAATTTAATCATACTGGTTGGCATCTCTGTAACATGTACATCTATTGTGAAAGTACACTCCGAATACACCTGTGCTATCCATTGTTATTACAATTCGAATCCCTGCACTGAAACAAAACAACAATTTAGATTTTACATCACTTGTAAAAATGTCCGATATAAAGAACACAAGAGAGGTCATGGAAAGGTGGGGTCTGGAAGAAACTGTGGCGGAAGTGGATTGAGATGGATGGATGATGAACGTTTTAAATAAACATCATAGACAAACTCAAAGACACACTCACAAGCTCCTCTCAATTCTGCAATTAAAGATGTAATGTTGGCAATAAAGTCTCATGCCAAAGTGGAGCGATTCCAACTGACGTTGGAAATTAGAATTGGAAGACCAGAGCTGCCAACCTCCAGAACAGAAAATCACTAATCACAAGGCTCAAAATCAGTAATTTGAGGAATAAATCAGTAATTTCCTATGCAGCGCTATGAACCTATAAAAACAGCACTCCAAAACTGGGTGGATGCATGCGCGCATCATTATCTGAATTTGTGGTGATTTTACTCTCACAAAGTTGCTAAATATTGATTTTCAGGTCATCACAACACATCAGTTTTCCATGAAAATTGGCTTCTATTAAGAGAATACTTGATACTTTTCCTTCTTTCTCAGCAAGTGTTGGATGGCCACCATACTGCACAGCACTCGCTACGATAAGTCATATTTACGCCACCACCACCACCACCCCCCCAAAAAAAATCCGTAATTTTTAGACAACATTCTGTACTGCCGTAATGATTTCCGTACCTATTGCGGGAAATCCGTACTAGTTGTCAGCTCTGGAAGACACTTGGTCGAAAACAGGCAAGATTCTAAATCTAGCCCATTTCTACTCTGGTCTAAGCCAAATCAGGAAATCAGAAGATTTGTGTGTACAATTTTCTAATGGCGGCCGTTACCTCGGAGCTAGGGGTATAGATAGACTCCCCAGCCGCCGACTCCCCTACCGGAAGATTGTGCTTTTCCAAGCTTCAGACAGGCAACATTGAGTGTCATTTGATAATACTTTTTTTCATGAAATCAACGCAGTCAAACTTACCCCCGTCTTACGATTTTTGATCCGGTTTCCAAACCTCCAAAGCTTGGAATGAAAAAAGGTTCGACGGGTAACAATTTCCTTTACTAATTTTCTTTTACATGACATAGGCCTAGACTCTAGATCTAGATCTACATAAACAGTATTTGCACAATAATAGTATAGGCCTAGGGTCTAGTCTACTAGACCTAGATCTATTTGGTCTTTCAATAATTAAAAAAGAATTTAATTCCCCCCCCCCCCCCGTTTTGTTTTAAAGGGATCCGGTAACTTTGTCTCAGATTCTGAAACAAAATTCTGGATTTAGCTCATGATGCAATGATAATTATAAAGCTTTAGGTCAGTCAGGAACCCCATGACTTTTACAAGCCGATCGCCTGTCTGATTATCAAGATAGGTCTAGATCTATTTATTTATGATTGGAATTACAAATTTTGAAACCGTTCGCCTGACGGTTTCATAACACTAGATCTACAGTCTATTGGGGAAAACGAGTATGGTAAAACCGGTCACTCAAAGATTTTTACTTTTTTGAGGCACTTCTTGATCATTTTGAAGCGCAATTTTTTTAGGGCTTCAATATTCCACCATATCACAGACACTGATAACACGTAGGGCCGTGTATCTCAGATTTAACATTGTTAAACGATCCCTTTAAGTGTCTGATGTTTGGCGATCTTACTATTTTGGGGATGTCTTAGTAGATCTAGATGATAGATCTAGATGATAGATCTAGATCTAAATCTAGTAGTCTAGGTCTACTATCTAAGGACTAGATTAACTTAGATCTAGACTCTATCTCTACGACTAGATCTATGTCGGAGTTACGGATCAAATTTGGGATAGGTTTCTGAACAAGCGCTGACTCTACTAGATCTTTTTATGTCATTGTCAAAGGTTAAAGGATGACAGTTACAGAATTCGATGTTGCCAAAATAACCTAAAATTATCTAGGCCTACCGTACGTACTTTGCATTGCATGAGTGGGTGGCAGTCACTAATTGAATTCGGCCGAATTCAGTCAGTGAACACAAACACTGAAATTGTGAAACGGTCAGTCTCGGAGTCGGACACTGACGTTGCAATTTGAACATTAAAAACTGACATTTAAAAGACATTTACATTTAGATTAGTAATTTAACACCATCCAAACACACTAATATTCAGTCCACAGTGACTTACCAATTCACAAAATACAGCTGAAGCCTGAAGTGAAGAGAAGTCGAAGCAAAGTGAATGGTCATCAATTTTTTCTAAACTGCTGCTGTACGTACGTACGTAGCTATTTAGATATTATTGATGAGATAGATGGTCTGCCAATTACAGCTTGCAACAACACGTCTTTTGCATTGTATATCAACTGAAGCTAGTGAGCTTGTAGCACTTGGCAAGGGCGCGCGACAGCGTATTTATGGTACCTCTCACCCAACAAAAAGAAATGGAAATTTAAAAAGGGGGAAATGCGAAAATTAACAGAAGAACAGGGAAGAAAAGCAGTCTTGGGACATAAATAAACGCTCAAGGATGTTTTGCAGTGTCTTGTGTGTTTGCTGGGATAGGCCGGGGATCAAAGACTTATCATACGCGACAACCCCCTTTCTTGTTGGGGGGGGGGGGGGGTCGGATATTCGAGATCGAAATGTGTCCCTCTCAAACGCCCGTGGCATAGGCCTATAAAACCACCTGGCCACCGGACAATAGCGGCTCGCCTAGAGGGCAGCACAGTGCCACCACTTTGTCAATTACCCCAAAAGTGCCTCTTTTTATATAGATAAAATTCCCATTCTCATTTCTAATAGCTACCCGTTCCACCGTATAAGTGCCCCTTACCACATCTGACAAGTGCCCCTTCACCAATGATAATCACCCCTATTCAAATATGAGAGGTGCCCCTTTTATTTTGACAATTCCCTCTTTTCATCCGTGATGAGTGCTCCTATTTAAATCGAGACATGTCCCCTTTAACTATTGAAACTGAAGTACCCCTTTTATCTGACAAATACCCCTTTTATTTCGACATGTGCCATCTTTCATTTTGATAATTGCCACTTTTTCTTTTTAATATAAGCCCCTTTTCCTTCTCATAATTGCCCTTTTTACCTCTAATAAATGCTCCTACTATCTAATAGGTGCCCCTTTTCCTTTGTTATAAGTGCCCCATTTCCACCTCTGATAATAACCATTTTTACTTTGACACGAGCTCCTTTTTTCTTCTTCTAATAAGTGTCCTTTTTCTCTCTGGATAAGTGTCCCTTTTCTTTTCACAGTAAAATGTGCCCCTAATTTAAAACCAAGTCAAGAGTAACTTTTTATTTAGTTCCCCCAAAGCTCGCTCGCTACGCTCGTTCGCATTTATATTTAATGTATGTATGTTTCTTGTTTAAGGTCTTTCATGATTAGATTGTGCTTAAGACTACACCTGGATTTTGTTTTCTTCCCGTCTTTATCAGATGTATTTTTTTGCACTGCGAATGCACAAATCTAATTATTTTTGCTCCCTCGCTTCGTTCCCTCGCATTGTCGCAAATGAATATTAAGACCATCACACCGAAATTCAAAGTATGTTGCTTAAAGCAGGCGCGGATCCAGGGTTTTCCAATAAGGGGGGTGGGGCGGAAATTTGAAAATCGCGCAGACCGTTATTTCAACTCAACATACCAATACTGACAAGGTCATATCAGAAGTACCGTATATACCGGTAGGTGCCTACAAGTGGGCACAATTTTGGAAAGGGTGCAGGCTCACGTCACGTTTTTTTTTTAAATATCCGATATCAACATTCCCCGTGTTTAAGTTATGCTCGCGCGTAAAGGGGGGCGGGGGGGGGGGGCTGAAGCCTCTTGCTCGCTGCCCGAATATTGGTAATTTTTTATATTTTCGGGGAAAGAGAGGCTACAACCCCATCCCGCATTAACTGTAAGTGTTATGAAATGAAATTTTAATCCTTGTGGAGTAAATATAAAAACAGTTCACGCTACATCCATGATTGCAATGAAAACTTCCATTTATTTGGAAATCCAGAACAATGAAACCCATGAGGTACTATATTTGTGTTTCATGCCTGTCATAATATATTAAACACTTGCTTTATATCTTTACATATTTATATTCATGAATGACTTTATCACTCTCGTTCGCTTACAAAATACCAACGTGCTCATATTTCTGCATATTCCATATGAATACAATACAAATATAAGTCTTTTCTTTTTGTTTACAAACAACTATAAGAAGCAAACCGTCAATTCTTTTTAATTGTTGTGGATGAATTATCTTAGTTAAATACGCTTCATAGGATACACAGTCTGATTGAGGCCATATACTGTTATTTAAGATTCGAATAATAGTTATAGCCTATGAAACAATCACGTGAGAGCACACAATTATGAAATGTTAAGAAAATACAGGATCTATTAAACCTTAATTCCCATAGCACATTTTCACTTCGAAGTATCTGCATGTTAATATTATGTAGGAATCTTAGATATATGCAAACGTCTATTTCAATTACCTTCCCGTTGTCTTATAGTGGAGTATATAGTAAATAATGCGGGTTTGCTCGGCTGAAAGCTATCCGGGATGACATGTAGCAGACGTATATTAGACCTTAAACCAAATACTTTATCCTTTTCAGCGACCGTTTGTATTGCTTTTACTGAAACAAACTAGGCAATTCTGGACAGGGGTTGTAAGAGTATCATAGTTGTGTGTTATTCGGCGAGGGAGCGTAGCGACCAAGCGAGATTTTGCCATTTTGAATGCTGAATAATGCATTCTAGAAAACGCCAAAACCAATGTGTACGTTCTCTGCGCAATATTTCCTTCTAGCCATATTTCTAAATTTCCAGGGGGAAGTGTCCTTTTGACAATCTTTTGACAGGGTAGCCCATTCACCAACAAGTAGTGGTCTTCCATGGGGCCCTGAATAAACATGAACATATTTACATCGTTTATAATGTTTATACAAAACAGTTAAAAAAATAATACTCATTTGCAAAATAAACATATATCATTAACCTAGTAAACAGTAATGTCAATAGGAAAATATTGATTAAGTCGCAATTAAAATTAAATTAGGATCGCCGCCCCTGTTCATGATTACTACCAGCATTTTTTCAAAAAAAGCACAAGCGAGTTGGCACGAGCTGATGAGAAATGAAGGGCAAAATAAGAGTTTTTAAGCGGCCCCTCTACCGTTAATTCAAAATTTGACTGTTGAGTATATAGCTTCTAAAGACTTCCAAAATAATGTGCCCTTTTCAAATTTCTCACCAAAGAGGGATGTCCTTTGTAGCGCAGGGGCTTCAATGTTTAACTTCGAATCCGCGGCTCGGGATTTTATGCGACCGGCCCCCTCTATTCAATAGCGTCTCCGGTCTTCTAGAATGACCCCCAATCTCCCGATTACAATTCTGCTCCTCTTTGCAGGGGCCGGGGCGTGGCTTTATCATGAGGCTTTTAAATAAACTTGTTTTGATAAATATATTATGCTGAATTTCGACCCAGATTGCACTGATTATAGGATGATCAGCCCCAATATACGCTTGCAGTTCACTTCCCCCTCCTTCTATTTCCTTATCCACCGTTACCATCACTGCCATTTTATGGCCGGCCCCTCTTCAATAACGACTCCCAATCCTTCGGGAAAGATCCCCAAATTTCCTGATTACTATTCTACCACTCTTTTGAGGGGCCGGCCTTTTCACTGAGAAGTGTTTTTACACTACCCTTTTCAGGCACTACGGCTTAAAGGTAATGCAAAATTTTGGGAAATTTTGAAAATTGGATGGATAGTAATTCTTTTAAAATTTGGATATATTTGGATGCACCTGTAGATGTATTATACGCACCAGAAAATAAAGCCCCCCCCTCCCCCCCCCCCCAAAAAAAACAACACTTCTGCTATCGAGCAAATTGAATTATCAAAATTTACCGGTGCTCCCGGTAAATTTCAAATATTTCAAATAGCGCCTGATAAGGCCATTCCATGGTAGCTGCGACCATGGAAATCTCAGAATATGCAGTTCTGATATATATTTCCAAACGGGAATAGCAAATCGGTCGATTGTAGTCAAGAAACATTGTTTTAAAGCTAAATTAATATCAGTATTGAGAGGGAGCTATACAACACAAATAGTTTATTATTTACAATTTCATCACTTTAGACTCGATTTCAATTGCGAGAACGATCACTGAATATTGTAAAATCGCATATGCTTTCTGTAATTTTGTTCATTTGAACCAAATTCATTATCCCATACCAAAACTTTGTATTACCTTTCATGAACGAGCATGCTTAGTATTTGTTTTAATAGGCTGAATTCCGACTCAGTTTTGCACAACCTAACAATTATAATACAGTCATTTGTCGTTTAGGTGACTTAATGCCATTTCCTTGTAATTTTCTCCCTTTCTATCCCGGCTTCTCTCTTCTTTTCCCCTTCTTTTCTCTCTGTCTGTCTCTTTCTTTTCTCTTCTCCTTTCTTTTTCTCTCTTCTTTTCTTCCTCTTTTTATTTTTGCGCTTTTTTTTTTGCGCTGCCAATGGGGTGGGGGCGGCCGTTTCGGCCCCCTGGATCCGCCACTACTTAAAGAAACCATGTCCCCTTTGCAGGCTAAATTCCGACGGCATTTGGAAGACAATACTAATTTAGAATTTCTCTCACAACGAAAAGGCTTGAAAATGGCTTTTAGTGGGAAAATAACGACCATTAGTTGTCGAATCGACTTAGGTGATTGCAATCACTTGAGTATTAGTATGATTTTCAGACCCTCTTACCGAATGGTCGTACGTTATGTGCTGCACAAAGATTCAATCAGTTTAATTTTGACCAATACAAGTATAGTGGGTTATTGATTTAGACAAAATGCTCGTATATATCTGTTACAGCTCATTTCATGTATGTTATTACCAAAGAATAAAAAGATGTCAGTCAGTCAATCACACTGGTCAATCAATAGTGTCTGACTGTGAAGTCTAGAAGGTAAACCGGTTTCATTCCATAATTTGAATACTAGGAAACTGCTAATGTTAGAATTTCACAGATAGGACATACATGCCATATCATAATTCCTGCAAAGTTCTACATAATTTGATGTAAGCTGTAAAAGGGACATACATGTAGTATCTTGGACAATGTGAAGAGAGACAATATTGAAATAATTCCTGATAATGTAATAAAAATGTAGGGGCATATACCAATTTGTATACTTTCGCTTTGAGGTTTCCCTTTGTAGGTGCCCCTTTTTGTTGATGCCCCCACTTTGACGCTCCACCGCCCCTGTACCGAGATATATTGCCAGTAATGGTATTAGAGTGGGGATTGAGGGGCTTATATATGAGTTTAAGC